AAGAAGTCCTTAAGAGATGATGTTTGCTACGGCTCCTACACATAGTGATATACGGATTTTTGGATGTCTTGCATACGCTCACAATAAGAAGCGTCACGACGACAAGTTTTCTAGTCGAAGTAAAAAGTATGTTTTTATGGGTTACCTTTATGCGAAGAAAGGGTGAACTACGTTGGATTCAGAAACAAGAGAAGAATTTGTCTCTTAAGATGTATCTTTCATCGAATATAAATATATCTTCTTTGAATCTTACATAGAACCAAACGGGTTTATACATGATGGATTGAGTCATATTTCTCATTTTATGGATGAGTCTAGATTTGAGAGGCGAGTTGAAGAAACTGTTGAAATAAGTGACACAGTGTGTGACATAGTGCATGGAGAAGTCACAAGAGTTGTTGCAAATTATGTGCATGAACCAATAACTTTGTCAGAAGAAGTGATTGAGAATGAAACAAAGCCTGTAGTTGTGACCCATGGTGAGACGGGAACACTATATGAACCTTCGAGAGACACACATGTGGAGACTGATACATCAGATACAACATGAGAAAGAAGCTTCTGTCAGGTTACGTGATTATGTGGTTAACAACGCGGTTCCTGCTCCTATGTCTTTATCTACTGTGAATCAAGGTGGAAGTTTAGAATATGGAATTGAGAATTCAATTATGATAGATTTTCTGAGTCACATAGAGGGTTTTTGGCAAGTGTAACAACAGGTATTGTGCCAAGGACATTTTCTGAAGCAATGAAATGTCTAAGATGGCGAGAAGAAATGAGGGTTGAGATCGAGGCTCAAGAGAAGAATAAGACGTGGTTAACTGATTTTTTCCTTATGGTAAGAGGGTGACTGAATGCAAGTGGGTACTCACAATAAAGTATAATGTAAATGGATCGATTGAAAAAAATTAGGTTTGATTTGTTGCTTGTGGTAATCGACAAGAAGAAGGAGATGATTACAAAGAAACGTTTGCCCATGTGCTAAAAATCAGTACAATCAGATTGGTTCTTCAGGTTGCTGCAGGAATAAATCAGATTACTCACTCTTTTCATTAGTGAATGCTAAAGTTCAGTTCCATGTTCTGGTATATGTTGATTATCTAGTGATAACAGGAAATTCTCCAGATGCTATTAGGGAGTTTAAGGGATATCAAATTGGTTGTTTTCATATGAATGATTTGGGAAAACTTAAGTATTTTCTGGAATAGAAGTTGCGCGCCGCAAATAAGGTATCTGTTTGTCCTAAAGAAAGTATTTATTGGATATTAGTTCTAATGTTGGGTTGCTTGGTGGTAGACCGTGGAATTTCCCATGGAACCTAACCATCAGTTGTGACGCTTTCAAGAGAATGCACTTGATGATCCAGAGAAGTACCGAAGATTGGTTGGGAGATTGATTTATTTGGCTGAGACTAGACCTTATATTGCGTACTCTGTTCACATTTTGTCTCAGATTATGCAGAAACCAAGGGAGGATCAGTGTTAGCAGCATTGAGAGTTGTTCGTTATTTGAAATGGTGTCCTGGAATGAGAATTTTAATGAAAGTTGATTGCAATTTTCATCTCACAGCGTGATGTGATTCGTACTGGTCAGGATGTTCGATTACTGGAAGGTCTTTGAATGGTTGGTTAGTAAAATTGGGATGTTCTCATGTGTCTTGGAGGCCAAAGAAGCATGATGTGGTGGTTCTTTTGTCAGCCAAAGCAAAGTATAGAGCTTTATGGTTGCTGCATTGAAGGAGATGAAGTGGATTAAGGGTGTTTTATCATCTATGGGTATTATACACTCAGGTGCTATGGATATGTATTGTGATTGTAAATCTGCTCTTCACATTGAAGCTAATCATGTGTTTCATGAGAGGATGAAACATGTGGAGTCAGATTGTCACTTCATTATGGATGATAAAGAAGCATGAATTTTACGTAGGAATCATGTACCAACAACTGATCAATTACCATATATATTTACGAAAGCGCTGGGAGGACGTCTTATTCAAGTGATCTTGTCCAAGTTGGGCATTCGAGATCTCCATGCTCCAAACTTGAATGTTGTATTCGGATATATTGCAATTATGCAATAGTTATATGGACTGAGATTCTAAGTATCCCTTAATTGTTTTATGGTTTGTACATGTAATTCAAAGATCACGTTTTAAGGTTAACAAGAAATAATACAGAGAAATTTCAGAGCTTTTATATTCCTCTACGAATCAATTATTTCAAATTTGTTTCTCTTCAAATCAATAATTTGAAACTTAACCCATTTACATAGATTTTAATTGGTTTATTATAAACCAAAAAAAATTTAAACTTGTTAAACCAAACCATAATATATATTTTTATGAAAAAAACATTTTTTTATTCAAGAGTATTGTGTCTTCTTTGTTGAAATTTCGATGAAAACAATCTAAGTCTTGATAAAAAAAAAAAAAAAAACAAACTGATTCTTGTCGGATTTGATTAAGAAGAGCAGTGTTGATTGGTTGATTCTGGAATCAGGCATCAGATGTGGTGGCCTGGGACGCCGTGAATCAGAAATTTCAGAGAAAAAAGGTGGAAACAGAAGCAAGACAACAAATTGAGACGTCGAAGGAGAAAGCAAATTGAAATGGAAATGAGTAGAGTCATGAAGAGAAAGTGAGAACAAACCAGATTCATGGCTCTAGATTACTTGTTTATTTTATTTTTCTCAACATATTTTAGAATCTCATCAATTTGGCTATACTTTCTCTCTCCTTATCTCAAAACTCTCTACCTCTGGTCCAAAGCAACGCGTGACGTTCTCCCTCTGGCGTACAGACCTCGTGCTCCCAAGTGCTGGGGCCGGAGGGGTCTCTTTTTCCCTCTCCTGGTTCTTCGTTTTCTCACCACCGTCTCCTTTCTCCCTTGCCCGATATGCGCGGTCATCTGTGTTTGGATCTGCATTTCTGATGAAAACTTCAGTCGCGAGGAGTCGACACTAGCGAAGGTAGCTCCTTCTCGGACTTTCAGCGAGGTGGAGAGGTGTTGGTTTTTTTTTTGGGATCATGGGTGTTTCGCTTTTCCCCTTCTTGAGCTCTCCGGTGTTCCTTCGTCGTGGGGTGGCAGCAAGAGTTCTTCTCACGGCTGGGCCCGGCTGTTGGATCTGATACTGCGGATATATAGTGTCTTGCTCGTTCGGTTAGAGTGGTGGTTGCTTAGGGTCTGCTCGGGTCGGGGAGATTCCGGTCCCTGCTCGCCGTAACCAAGAGTTCTCTGTTGAGTAAAGAGGTGAAGTTCAAGTCGGATGTGATCATTGTGAAAGTGTCTGTCTTTGGTACTTTTGTGTGCGTGCTTCTGGTTCGCCTCGAGTGGTCATCTATTTCCATTAGATGGTTCCTTGTTTTCCCCACAACTCTTTCATTGCTCCCTCTCCCGACAGCCTGACTGTAAGAGTTAAACTCTCTCGTACCTTCATCATCATATCTATCTCATATGGCTCCGGATGTCATTTTGTTCTTGGTCAAGAAATTGGTTCTTTCTTAAAGGCCTTAAATGCTTAGACGGTTCTCGGGAATCATTAGCCGTCTTTGAGTCAGCATCTCGTTCTAGCTCACATCCCGGCGTTGTGGTCTTGGTCTTCTGCGGTGTTGTAGCTGCCTTTCTTGTATTGGTTTTAGAGTCTTCTTTTCAGGATATGGCAGTGGGTACAAACCAACTTTGTGCATGTCCACAGACGGCATAAGCGAGCACTTGTTAGCATTGGGATGCGGTTCAAGGCGCCGTGTGGCATTTCATACAAAACTGGCTTTGGTGGTGTTTGTCTTAGTAAGTATTTGAATCCTCCCCTTTGGTCGTTTTGAGCTTCATAGGTAGAGGAAGTTATAAGCTTTGTGAAGATCATTGGGAAACTAGCTACTCCAGAGACGTCAAGGGAACTCTCAACATTCGAAGAAACGAGGAGAACCTCAATTTCCAAAAAGTCATGTCGATGGTTGAGAATGGCTACCGATGTCGAAGGATTTCAAAAAACAAGTTAGCAGAATGTGCCGGATTTAGTGGGCGAGCGAAGCTACACTTGTAATAGTTTGATTTTAATATTTTATTTAAAACAAGCTTGTAACCATCTCTGATTCCTGATTTATCGGGCAGTTTTTATGTATAATATTTACTAAAACAGCTAACAAATTAATTTGTATCTCTTCTGTCATTCAGTTCGAGCAAGGAACAAGGGGGTGATGACACTAACAGATTCTGAGAACTACGGCGAAGACATTGAAATGTGTGCAAAAATATTTTTTTTATTGAAATTAGATTTTTACTAATTTATTTTTATCTAAATGATTTTTGGTTTTGTTTAACCGGTTTAAATCCTTGGTTATTTTTAAACCAACTAAAATCATGGTACACATGTAATTAAGTTTTGAACTATTGGTTTGAGGAGAAATAAATTTGAAATTGATAATTTGTGGAGAAATATGTTTCTAATTTTCTAATTAGAGAATTTTGACGGGAAATCATAGTTTGATAGATATCTGATGTTATATAACATTTCTTGTGGAGAAATAGATCGGTTATCAGAAGAAGATTCAACGCCTAATTAAATTATCTATCACTGATGCTATGATAGGATTTCATTGTTTCATCCACAGCTAAATATTCTGTTATCCCCTGTGGTGGATTATGATTTCTCCACGAATTATTTAGTTCCTCAGTGGCATTGTATTTTCACAAGACTAAAACCTCAGGTGTCTATTTTTTTGGAACACTTAATGGCACCACCATTATCACATTCCAATCCATTCAAGGAGTAAGTTGAAAAGAAGAAACTTTTATTGGGTATTTCTATTTTTGTTCTATATTTTATTGGATTGAATATATTGACATGAGACCTCAACATACATATATGATATACTATCAAGCCAAATATAACAACACCAACGTAATATAAAGATTAATATCCAACAACGCAAGTTATACATGTTACTAAAACTTCGTAGTAAGTGGGCACATGTTTTGTAGAAACAGCAGAAGGTGTAGGGTGAGCCACTGAAAAACTTTCAAGACATCCATATATCATGCACAAGTGACAAATGAGAATCAGTTTATTTAAGACATATATATGGTCTTCACACATATAGCACAAGTTACACAAACACAAGTCACACAAGCACAAACTAAGGAACCTGGTAGAAGGAAAAACACGAAAAGTAATGATTATGATCTCGGCAAGAGCTCTCTTTATTAATTTTTCTTCCCGCGGACCTCCTTATCTTCAGTGTACGAAGGATTATTCCCATATGAATTCCTAATCATTTACAAATTATAGACTTCAAAGTTAAAATAAAATGTCTGAGATTGAAGACATGTGACAAGTAACACACTAGTACAGATAATGGATGAAGAAAAACTAGAGGTGTTCAATCCAGATTATATGTTATTGGTGTAAAAATCGTAAATCAAATGTTGGTTTATGTGTAGTTTAGTATTGAGTTGTAAATCAGTGAATGAGCTCACTATAAATCAAAATCCAACATTTGATTTACGGTTTATACTATATACTAGGATAAGATCCGCGCCTTGCGCGGGATGAGTTATTATTTTTATTATGTTTTGGAAAATAAAACAAAAGTTCGGTTTCATCTAGATTAAGGATGTTCAATCTGGATATCTGATTTCAATATTTTGGTTATTAAAATATAACTACTATTCTAAATCCATATTTACTTCAGTTTGATTTGGTTTATATATTGATTTTCAGTTTATTCAATTTTATACCAAAATACATCATTATTTAGTTTGAAATCATATTATATATTATAAAAATAAATAATATGATCATATTTAGAGTCATATAGTCAAAAAGTCATTTACTAAAAAAAATATTATATATTTAACTAAAAGAATAAAAAACAAAAAAGGCTTCTATGATCTAATAAAATGATCAAATCTAGAATTAATATCAAATCTCTAAATTTTGAAAATAAAAATAAAAACAAAACAGAAGCATGAAAGAAAAGTTTTTATATTCTTGCATATTTAGTGTTCATCAATTTAATATGTCTTCGATTGAACACAACTTTGTTTGTTTAATGATTAAAAAAATTGTAAAGAGTTTCAACTAATTGTTGTCCATCAAATTTATAATTTTTACTTCAATTTATTTTTTATTAAAAAAATAAAAAAAAGATAAAAAAAAAGACAAAGAAAATAAGAAGCCTCAGTTGCATTAAATTGTTAGTTAATTATATTCAAATGATTCAAGTGATTTACAAATCATAATTATAGTTCAACTCATGTAACAAATAGATATACATATTTACGTGTTTCAGTTTAATCGATTATAAATCAAACCATATCCAAATCTTACGGTTTTTATAAAATCACATACATTCGGTTTGTATGGTATATACCAAAAATAACCATATTATCGATTGTGTTAATATCTTTAAAAATAGAAAATTAAAAAAAAGAACTAATATATTTAAATCATTGATAACAAAAATTTTCAATGTGAAAAATTTAATACGTTTATAATTTATAAATATTCTTGAAAATTCATTGAAATTTTTGAAATTAAAATAAGTATGTAATCTTATATGGTATATAGTTTAATCTATATATATATATATTTTTTTTTATTATTGAATGATACTTTTTACTCATATAGTTTTAAAATCATGTGTATCTTTTTGTAATAAAAATGTTAAACTATTGATCATTAATTTTTAACATAATAATTTTAATAGTTTTAGTCATTTATTCTTTGTTTTTTAAATTTCAAAATATAACATTTACGAAAAAAATCTAAAGTTTAATTTTATAGCTAATTTGATTGTTTGTTTTATTTTAATAATATAAAATTAAAGAAAAGTGATGGAGGAGATATAAATTGTTATCAAATATTTATTATTAGAAACATTAATTTCCATATATATATATTTGTCATTTATGGTAATTTGGTAGCTTTTATTTAAGTAAAGAAAATAAAATAGTAATTATATCTAGCAGGACCATCATAAATGCTTCTATCATAAATATCATATCATATAATTTGACCAACAAATATATCTAGCGACATATAAAAATCGAATGTGGACCTACTTATTTTTCAATTGAATATAATTGACTACCTAATTGAGTGACACGTAAGCAGGAGCTCTTTTTTAATTATTACAAAATTTAGGTTACAATTTTTCAAATGTTTCTCAATTAATATATAGGGGATAAATGGATTCAATCGAAACTGAACAAACAAAAACTTAATCATGTCCATGATTGGATTTTAAATAGATGCACTTCTTTGCACCTGGATGAGTTTTAATCCAATACTGTAACCGTATGTGGAAAATAAACATCAATCTATAAAACTAACAAATCGCAGGAGGTTAATGATATACTTTACTAACTTCCACACCAGAAACGAAATATAAAGTGTTCAAATAATCTATAATAAATTAGGTTTAGTTTCATACACTTATCCATGTAGAATGGTCTAAAAGATCCATAAGATCAATCAAGACACTGTGAATAAGTATATGAAGTAAAGCCTAGTCTATGAATCTTTTTGTGATTGCATTACTTAGGAAACTATGCTAACTGTAAAATGTTACTCCTACGTCAGTATATCTGATATATTATTCCTTCCCAATCCTACAGTCATCTGCATCATTTAATAAATAGAAAGGCAAAAATCCGAAAAACCCAGAACACCCAAATAGAAAAAAAGAAGGCTCTACCTGGAATAAATTTGTGTTGGAGTTGGACCACCACATTTGATCTTACAACCTTCATAGCAATATCCGTCGGTATCGCTGCAATTGCGAGAACAATACCGAAAGCAACCTATCCAAGTCGTTTGGCGTATTTGCTTTGCTTCTCCCATTGCAGCAATCATCACAATAGTTATCACCATTATCACATTCCATTTCGTCATTCTGTGTAATGTGTAACTCTGTAGAATAACCATGCCCTATTTATAAGCTTTTTAGTACCTTTTGTTTTTCATTTTTTGCTAGTCAAATTGATTTAGTTTTCTTCCAAATCTGGATCTGAATAAGTCATTGCTTAAATATTTGTTTTTATTCATTTTGAATCATAAGATTCTGTCCTCTACAAGAGAGATCTAGCAATTATGTATACGATCCGAATTCCACGGATGAATAATCGATCATAAATCCTTAAAGGATAAGGTTAATTCTTTAAATTTCATTGTGCTATTTATCATCGCCATGTGAGTAGAACCAACCTGATCACTTATTGCCACATTTCACCGACAATAACAGAATGTAAACGAGAGAGAAGCTGATGATCAAAATAGTTTGTTATTCATCATCAATGTTTCTGTTACATCACACACTCCTAATATAGGAGGTGAAAATAAAAGAACTAAACCGTACCGAAATACATTCATCTAACCAAAATACAATCAATCAATGGTTAGTGTAAACCGGAACGCAACTCTCTATATTAATACCCCTCCTCAAGATGTCAATACAAAGCTTGTGAGAGACATCTTGGCAACGAGTTTGTTGAACTGTGTAGGGAACAAAGGCTTAGTAAAAACATCTGCAATTTGTTGATCAGTGCGAACATGCAGTGTTTTAATAAGCCCCTCCTCAATCCTATCACGTACCTGATGACAGTCTAGCTCAATATGTTTAGTTCTCTCGTGAAAAACAGCATTGTTTGCAATGTGAATTGCTGCTGTAGAATCACAAAACAGAACAACTAGTCCTTGCTGTGGTATCTGCAATTCATATACTAGACCAATAAGCCAAATGAGTTCTCGAACTGCAAATGCCATTGCGCGATACTCAGATTCTACAGAAGAATGAGAGACCACATGTTGTTTCTTAGACTTCCAGGAAATAAGAGCTGAGCCAAGAAAGACTGTAAAACCAGAAGTAAATCTTCTAGTATCAGGACAAGAAGCCCAATCCGCATCAGTAAATGCTTGCAGAATAAGATTTGAATTGACTAAATAAAACAGACCAAGACCAACTGTTCCCTTTAGATAATTAATGCAGCACTTTATAAGCAGCCTTAAGATGAGACGCCTTAGGAGCAGAAGAAAACTGACAAAGCTTGTTGACTACAAAAGTAATATCAGGCCTAGTGATGGTCAAATACATCATCTTGCCAACCAAACGCCGATAAACACTCCCATCTTCAAGTAAAGGTTCAGTAGAGTGTTGAACAAGCTTCAAACTTGGTTCCATAGGAATACTAGATGGCTTACAAGCCAACATCCCTGTTTCTTCAAGTAATTCCAAGGTATATTTGCGTTGACAAACAGAGATACCACTGGTAGATCTTGCAACTTCCAAGCCAAGAAAATATTTCAATTCTCCAAGTTCACGCAACTTAAAAGCTTTCTTCAGATCATCCTTAAAACACTCTGCTTCTTCATCATCATTGCTAGCAACAATAATATCATCTACATAGACCAAGACGGCAATGTACTTACCATTATTGTTGCATACAAACAATGTGTGGTCTGAGTGAGACTTCTTGAACTTCAGCTTCCGTAAAGTGGAACTAAACTTGAGAAACCACTGTCTGGATGCTTGTTTTAACCCATATATAGACTTCTTCGAGCGACACACTGGGTTAGGAGGAAGATTAGTGCCCTCTTGTGGTGTATAACCAGGAGGAAGAGACATATAGATTTCCTCTGTTAAATCACCATTCAAAAAAGCGTTGGAAATGTCAAGTTGACTAAGTTTCCACTTCTTTGCTGCTGCAACAGCTATTAAAGTCTTCACTGTTGTCATTTTGGCTACCGGAGAGAAAGTATCAACAAAGTCCACTCCTTCTCATTGTGTATAACCTTTAGCAACTAATCTTGCTTTGTATCTTTCTAGTGTACCATCGGCATTGAGTTTAACTTTGTACACCCAACGACAACCAATAGCATGCTTTCCAGAAGGTAAAGAACAAATCTCCCATGTGTCTGTACTCTCTAAAGCCAAAAGCTCATCATTCATTGCTTTTAACCACTCATCAAACTTCTTGTCCTGAGCAAAAGAACTCGGTCCCGCATGAAGATCAACAGAGCAAATATAAGCTTTATAACCTTCTGACAGTTTATCATAAGACTGATAATTCACCATTGGATAAGGTATCTCCGTGGTATTCATATTGCAAAAATAATCTTGTAAGTAAGCTGGAGTCTTAGAATTCCGCTTACTAGATTCGCCCTCAGTTGTTGTAACAGATGGATGAGATGGAATGTTCACTACTGCAGGTAACTCTCTGGGTATATCTGCAGGAACTCCATCTTTCACCACCACAGTAGAATCCTGTTCAACAACATCAGCTCCAGAAAGAAATCCATCCAGATCAGAAACAGAGATATCTTCAGTAAAAGGAAAAATATCTTCATGAAATACAACATTCCGAGAGATGTGAGTTTGATTTGTCTCAAAATCTAACAGATTATATCCTTTGTATCCAGAAGGGTATCCAAGGAATACACAAGGGCGAGCTCTTGGTTTGAACTTGTGTCTGTTTTTAGATGATGTTGAGCTATAAGCTAAACAACCAAACACACGCAAACCATTATAATCTGGTTTCTTGGAGGTCAAGACTTCAAAAGGACTCTTGTTCTGCAACAAAGAACTAGGAAGACGGTTGATGAGGAACACAGCCGTAAGAACACAATCCCCCCCCCCCAAATTCCAAAGGAATCCTTGCTTGGAACATGAGAGCTCTAGCCACATTCAAAATATGTTGGTGCTTACGCTCTACCACAGAGTTTTGTTGTGGTGTTTCTGGACAAGAGTGAAAAGATACAATCCCTTTGCGCTTGAAAAGATCTGTAAACCTCAACTCATTTGCATTATCAGAACGGACCCCTTTAACCACTCCACTGTACTGTGTTTCAATCATCTTTAAGAAATCCGGAAAGATATGCAGAACTTCATCCTTGGTTCTTATAAGATAAATCCATGTAACTCTTGAATGATCATCCACAATGGTGAGAAAATACCGATAACCTTCAAATGTTGAAACAGATAACGGACCCCAAACATCAATATGTAACAATTCAAAAGCAGTAGCACACATATTGTGTTGAGAATCATAGGGTATGTGTTTCTGTTTAGCCAAAGGACAAATTGCACAATGAAACGCATCTTTATTTTTGTGTTTTAAACCCAATACATGAGTAATAAAATCTGTTTTCTGTAAAGACGGATGTCCCAATCTATTGTGCCAAACAGAGGAATCAAAAACAACATTAGAACAGAAGGCAAGCTTGTCATGAAGATTCTGACGAATGGTGTCCATGTCTAGCACATATAGATTAGCTATAGCTTCACCCTGTCCAATCATCAACCCCTTGATAGGATCCTGTATCATACAAGACGTTGGATCAAATACAACTCTGTAACCCAAATCCTTAGTCAACTGACTTATACTCAGAAGATTAAGACGAAAATCCGGGATAAACAAAACTTTCTTGAGAATCAGAGTGTCATTCATCTTGACAGAACCAATTCCTGCAATTTGTACTCCCAAACCAGTAGGTAAAGTCACTGAAAAATGAAGAGCAGTAGATAGACTGACAAACAAATCTTTATCATGACAAACATGATGTGTGGCTCCACTATCTACAACCCAAGATGCAGACGACAATATATTGTTGGTGGCCTGTAGAGCACCAACAAAATGTAAAGTGGATAAAGAGAATGCCATACCAGGTAAAGCCGAGATACTACCCTTAGATGTGGAAGCTTCAGCATTAGATTGTCCAGACGCAAGTGAGTATTGAAATATGCAATGACTCCCTCTATCTGATCTTTTGAAAGATTATTCATCATCCCTGAAAGATTGTCAACACCATTAAAAACATCAGTATTTGGGACAGATACTTGAGCCACCACTGGTTTTGTTGAGGGTGTGGGTTTTGCAGAAGCAGGGGACTTGTCAGACTGATTCTTTTGCTTGTGTTTAAAACCAACGGGATATCCATGTATCTTGTAGCAAGTATCAACAGTATGTCCAGTGTAACCACAATGAGCACATATGGGTTTATTCTGTTGCTTGGGATAATGAGTTCCTTGAGTAGCACTAACAGAACCTTGAAGAAACTCAAAAGAAGTCACATTGAATGCAGATGCATTCTGAACAGGAAGAATACTACGCTGACTGTGATCTTGGTCAAGTAGATTGTAGACTTCTGATAGGACCGGAACATGTTTCTTCATAATGATCTGGCTACGAATCACAGAGTAAGAGTCATTCAATCCAGAGAGAAACTTTATGACCTTAGCATGATTGGCTTTCGTCTTCATCACGGTACAACAATCACAAGAATGACAAGTAGTTTCACAGCTAGCACCATCAAGTTCATCACATAGAGTCTTCAGTTTTGTGTAATATGTAGATAAATCCATCGTACCTTGCTCAAGAGCCCAGATCTGCTGAGATAAAGGATAAGATCGTGGAAGATTGATGATATGATAATGAGTCTTCAAATCATTCCAGATCTCAGAAGCATCATTGAAACGCAGAATATTCTTGTAAATAGACTTCGAAACGGAGTTGAGAATCCAAGATTTAACCATCGGGTTACACCTTGACCAGATTCTGAAAGTCGGATGGGAATCATTTGGACGTACGAGAGATCCATCTATGAAAACGATTTTATTCTTCGCATCAAGAGCTATAGTCATCGCAATACGCCAATTATCATAATTCGTTCCATCCAAAATCTCAAATGTAAACTAGTCCAGGATTATCACTGTTATTAAGATGAAATGGAGAGTTAATACTATCAGGAGGTACCGTAAACGGAAACAAAGGTTCTGGAGAGACGACCGCCTCCGGAGTTGAAGATCGGCGAGTCGCAGAAGCAGCTCGTTGAGAACGACGAAGAGATCGTCGAAGAACCACCATTTTGAACAAAAAAAGATCGAATCTGTGATATTAACGATCGATGATAC